TGAGAATTCAGAACCAGGGGTTGTGAGAATTCAGAACCAGGGGTTGTGAGAATTCAGAACCAGGGGTTGTGAGAATTCAGAACCAGGGGTTGTGAGAGTGCAGAACCAGGGGTTTGGCAGAAATCAGAAGAAGGGTTTGTGAGAATTCAGAACCAGGGGTTTGATAGATTCAGAACCAGCAATTGTGAGAATTCAGAACCAGGGTTTGTGAGAATTCAGAACCAGGGTTTGTGAGAGTTCAGAACCAGGGCTTTGGCAGAACTCAGACCCTCAGTCACTCTGTGCCTTTCCTGTTACAGCAGTGGGTAGGAATCCCTGAGTGCTCAAACAAGGAACGGTTTGGGTTGGAGGGGACCTTAAAGGGCCTCAGTTCCAGCCCTATGGCAGGGACACCTCCCCCTGTGCCAGCCTTGGACACTGCCAGGGATCCATCCAGGGCAGCCCCAGCTGCTCTGGCAATGCCAGCCCAGCTCCTCCCCGCCCTCCCAGCCAGGAATTCCTTCCCCAGATCCTGTCTAACCCTGCCCTCCTTCAGCCTGAGGCCATTCCCCTTGTCCTGTCCCTCAAACCCCAAACACGAGGCTGGACAAGGCTCCATTTCTGCACTTGAGCTCTCCACAGAAGCAAGACTGGAAACGTGAGGGCAGTGCAGCAGCTCCACTCCTGCCAGGATGAGTGTCCTGGAGACCACACAGGAGATGTGGCCAAAGTGAAGGAATTCCTGGTTCCTTCAGCACACAGGGACATCTGCCATGAGGAAGGCTCAGCCCTGCACATCTGGGGCCTCACCTGCAGCAGTCACTTCATCAGAAGATGTTCCAGAGGTGCTGAACACATCCCATGCCCTCTAGACCCTAATGGATTCTCCCACACTGTTATTAGCTTTATTTGAGCAGTGAAATCTAAGTAGGCACCAATTAAGGTTTGAGGTGCCACAGGTCAGAATTAGTCATTCCAATTTGCCTGCAATGTTTTTCACACACACAATCCCAACGAGGACATGACAGCAAATATTTATGGCAGAGCTGGGAGATGAGGCCCAGATGGAACCTCCTGGGGAAGGAAAACACTGCCAGGCTCTCAGTAGAATCTCACTGCACAGGCAGCTCGGAAGCTCCAAGAAAACAGCTCAGCAAACCCAAGGCTCACAGCAAGGGGGGTCTGAAGGCAAAGAGGTGCAGGAGAGCCCTGAGGATGCTCCTTAAAGCATGAGGAGCATCAAGGATATCCCAAGGGATGGGTTTGCCTCTGTTCAGGGGGTTCAGAGGGAACACAAAAGGTGCAGCTACTCACTGGAGGCCAAAGCTTCTGCCTCAGTGGAAGGAACTTTGTAGATCTTTCCTCCCTTGTAGACAAAGCTGCCCTCGATCACCTTGAAGTCCAAGTAACGAGTGACTTCTGTGTAGAGCAGCATCTTTACCAACTGACCTGCAGGGGAAGGGTTTGGCACAGTCAGACACAGACACAGCAGCTCCCACAGCAACAAAGCCTTCCCGTGCTCAATCCCCTCTGCGGGCTGGACAGGCTGGGACTAAAGCACCCAAGCCTTGCCTGGGATTGATCTGTTCTTCCACTGCAGCAGC